GTAAATTCTATAAGTGCAAAGACTTTGTTTATGTTACTGTTATATATCTAACACATAAAATAATGTCTTGCATTTAATAGGCTTTCAATTAAGTATAGCAAATTATTTCTCTTTTTGAGTCCTTGACAACTCTTCATCCCTAAGATGGAAGAGAGGGATATGGGTTGGGACCTAGGGATGGTCCCTTAACCATCTTTGAAACCTTAACTTTGAAACCTGCAGAAGCATGATGGTAGGTTAACTGATCGATGATTTATGTCATTCTCACTTCAATTTTTTTTTAAAGAAAAGATTTGTTTACCTATTTGTAAGGCAAGTTTACATAAAGAGGGAGAGACAGAGATTTTCCTTCCACTAGTTCACTTCCCAGATGGCTGCAACAGCCAGGCTTGGGCCAAGCCAAGTTGGGGAGCCTGGAACGCCATCTGGATCTCCCACTTGGCTTTCAAGGGCCCAAGCACTTGGGCACTTCTGCTTTCCCAGGCACATTAACAGGAAGCTGGATTGTAAGTGGAACAGATTTGACTCAAACTTGCACTCATGTGGGATTCCAGCATTGCAGGCAGTGACTTAACCCACTGAACCACCACTCTGGCACCTGTTATTTTTTAAAGTTACACTTTAAAAAAATTATTCATTTTACCCATTTGCAAGATAAAAAAGAGAGTACACTATGTATCTCCCATCTACTGGTTTACCCCCTGAATGCCTGCAACAGCCAGGCCTGGGACAAGCTGAGGCTGGGAGCAGGGCACTCAACCGAAGTCTGTCTGTGAGTGGTAGGGACCCTACTTACTTCAGCCATATTTGCTGTCTCCCAGGGTACACATTAGCAGGAAGCTGGAATCTGGAGTGAACTGGGACTTGAACTTACTAGTACAGGATGCTGGCATCCAAACCAGCATCTTAACCACTGTGAAATGCTCTCACCCCCTTTTTTAGCTTTAGAATCCTATGAATTATCAGTACTTTGTATTTTATCTCTAACAAATTGTTAAAAAACATAATTTACTTTTAGGGTTTGCAAAAATACTTTTGATTTATAATGCTCAGAATATTAAGACTTTAAGAAATAATTTTTGAAAATTTAATGGAAATCGTCAGTTTCATAACACAGTGATCCCCAAAAGTCACTGCCATGTGTAGAATTGCACAATGGAAGGAGCAAAATGGGATTAGGATCACAACACTCAAAAACTTTGTTTTATATGTAAAAATGACAAGAACAGGGGTAGATGTTGTGGCATAGCAGGTAAAGCCATGTGCCTGTAATGTTGGCATCTCATATGGGTGCTGGTTTGGTGTCCTGGTTGCTCCACCTCTGATCATGCTTCCTGTTAATGGCCTGGGAAAAGCAGTGGAAGATGGGCCAAGTGTTTGGCCCATGCCACCCACGGGGGAGACCTGGATGAAGCTCTTGGCTCCAGCCTTCAGCCTGGCCCATCCCTGGCCACTGCAACAACTATCTTGGGAATGAGCTGGTAGATGGAAGATCTCTGTCTCTCTGTAACTCGGCTTAAAAAATAATAATAATAAAAATGATTGCTGTTAAATATAAGAGTGGGAATAAGAGAGGGAAGAGATGTGCAATTCGGGACATGCTCAAGATGACTTACCTCAAACGGTAGAGTTAGAAACATACCAGGGGATTCCAATTCAATCCCATCAAGGTGGCATGTACCAATGCCATCTCAGTAGTCCCAGTGATCAATTTCTGTTCACAATTGATCATAGTGATAGGACTAAGAACCAAAGGGATCACATAAACAAGAATAGTGTCTGCAAATACTAGCTGATAGAATAAAGGGAGAGAATGATCCAACATGGGAAGTGAGATACACAGCAGACCCATAGAATGGCAGATGTCCTAAACAGCACTCTGGCCTCAGAATCAGCCCTTAAGGCGTGTGGATCCGGCTGAAAAGCCCATGAGAGTATTTCAGGCATGGAATGCCAAAACACTTTGGAGGAAAAAAACAAAACAAAACAAAAAAAAACACTTAAATGAAAGATCTCCGCAAGTGAGATCCCAGTGGAAAGAACGGGTCATCAAAGAAGGAGGTACCTTTCTCTGAAGGGAAGAGAGAACTTCCCCTTTGACCATGGCCTTGTCTAAATATGATCAGAGTCGGTGAACTCAGGGGGCTTCCATAGCCTTGACAGCTCATGACAAGAGCCTAGGGTGATTACCGATGCCATAAACAAGAGTGTCAATTTGTTAAGTCAACAACAGGAGTCACTGTGCACTTACTCCTCATGTAGGATCTTTTTCCTTAGTGTGCTGTACATTGAGATTTAATGCTATAACTAGTACTCAAACAGTATTTTTCACTTTATGTTTCTGTGTGGGAGTAAACTGTTGAAATCTTTACTTAATGTATGCTAAACTGATCTTCTGTATATAAAGAGAATCGAAAATGAATCTTGATGTGAATGGAAGGGGAGAGGGATTGGGAAAGGGGAGGGTTGCAGGTGGGAGGGACGTTATGGGGGGCAAGCCTTTGTAATCCATAAGCTGTACTTTGGAAATTTATATTCATTAAATAAAAGCTAAAAAAAAAAAAAAGAAAATGGTAGCGCAGTTTTACACATTGCATGATTGAAAAATAGGTAAATACAAATAGAGTACTCTGCCTTGAAGTAGACCTAAGGTTTGCTTGTTAAAGTGGCTGTAGACGTGTTGCAGCTCTAAGTTACAGTGAAGTGGCGCATAAGATGAGTTGGCTGAATTCCAACTGAAGTTGTAACACCAAGCGTGGCTGAATGTGGTTGGTAATGTGTGAACTGAGGAGGCTAGAAGATGTTTGAGGTATCTGTTTTATTATTTCTACGTGGTTCTGTGTAACTTTCTGAAAATCGCTGCTGGGTATGGTTTTCAGGTGATGACCTAGCAAGTGTCTGTCTCAGAGGACAAGTTGCACTTCAGGAAATGTGAAATTCACATTCCCAAATTGTTTCCTAATATATTAATCATGTAGGAACAAAAATTGGATTCAAAACAGGCAGTGTAAGGGCCGCATTGTAGCGTAGTAGGTAAAGCTGCCTGCAATGCCACATCCCATATGGGCTCCAGTTTGTGTCCCAGAGAGACATGAGAGGTCTTCCATTCTCTGGTTCACTCCCCAGATGGCTGCAACTACTGGAGCTGGGCCAGTCCGAAGTCAGGGGCCAGCAGCTTCCTCTAGGTCTCCAATCCTAGGTCGATCCAGGGAGCTAGATCGGAAGTGGAGCAGCCAGGACCTGAACCATCTCTTATATAAGGTGCCAGTCCCATAGGTGGTGGGTTGACCTTTTACTCCACAGGGCTGACCCCTAACTAAATAAATTATAAAAAAATAAAATAAAACGAAAAACAAGCAGTGTAATAGAATTAACTAAAGTTTTAGACTTGAACAAATAGTATACAATGTTTCCATATACTCAGTGAACCTAAATGTTCTTATCTATATTAGTGATCAAAACCAGGAAATTAATGTTGATACTGTACTATTAACTGACCTTGCTTCCTATTCAGACTTTGTCATTTTTTAAAAATTATTATTATTTATCTGTTCTAGGATCTAACTCAAAATCTTATATTTCTTTTTTTTTTTTTTTAAGATTTATTTTATTTATTTGACAGGCAGAGTTATAGAGAGAGGTAGAGACAGAGAGAGAGGTCTTCCATCTGCTGATTCACTCCCCAGATGGCCGCAATGGCCAGAGCTGTGCCGATCCAATGCCAGGAGCCAGGAGCTTCTTCCAGGTCTCCCACGTGGGTTCAGGGGCCCAAGGAATTGGGCCATCTTCTACTGCTTTCCCAGGCCATAGCAGAGAGCTGGATCAGAAGTGGAACAGCTGGAACTTGAACCGGTACCCATATGGGATGCCAGCGCGTTAATCTGCTGAGCCACAACATCGGCCCCCAGATCTTATATATTTTTAATTGTCAAGTCTCAATCCGTAGCAGTCTGGAACAGTTCCTTGTTCTTTGTCTTTCATGACCTTTGAAGAGTATAGCCTGGTTATTTTGTAGTTTCTCCAAATTTGGATTTGTCTGATGTTTCCTCATATTTGGATTGAAATTAGAAATTTTTTATCAAGAAAACTACACAACTGAGTTGTACCTTTCATGATGTGTGATATACTTGAACCTGCTATATAACACAGTCAATTTTTGTTTTTAAAGTTTTATTTATTAAAGAGAGATCCTTTATTTATATATAAATAGAGATACTTTTATTTATTACAGAGAGAGTGAAGCCTGTTGCTTCACTACTCAAAGACTGCAGTAGCCAGGAGCAAGGAACTGAATCTAAGTTTCTCACATGAGTGACAGGGTAACCTATCTACTTAACCCATCATCACTGCCTACCAGGGTCTGCGTTAGTAGGAAGCTGGAGTCAGAAACTGGAGCCACTATCAAGCCCAGGTACTCTGATAATGGGACATGGGCATTTTAACTGGAATCTGAATTGCTAAGCTCCTCTAAGTCACTAAGATGTGTTTAATGTTTATGAGTTTTAGTTGTATAGTAAAATTTGCTGTTTGTACTTTATAACTCCTTGTTTTTAGTCTGAAGTTTAATATTTTGCTTTTCTATCATCTTTTATATTAGTTCTTATGTTAAACCATGTGGGGAAGGCATTAGCTTTTTGCTAATATGGCAGAAGACAGCTGATGATTGCCCAAGTACTTGGGTACAGGAAGGAGACCCATATGGAGTCCTTGGTTTCTGTCTTTGACTTGGCACAGTCTCTCCTGTTTCAGGCATTTGGTAAATGAACCAGTGGATGGAAGTTGTCTCATTCTCTCTCCTTTCTCTCTACCTTTCACAAAGAATTATACGCAGTATCATAGACATGCCTTTGAATCTTTTGATTATTTTTCTTTCTGAAACTCAGTATATTTTGATCTCTCAATTATTCCTATCAATTTGAGCATAATACTTTTATAATAGTGTTTTTTTATATTTTCCTTGTAAAATCTTTTAATATAATTACAATATTATTTTGTTTCAGTTTCAATAGTAATGGGAATTCCCACAGTGAAGAGAGAAGTTAAATCTTACCTCATAGAAACTCTTCATTCCCTTATTGATAATCTGTATCCTGAAGAGAAGCTGGACTGTGTTATAGTAGTCTTCATAGGAGAGGTAATTATTTATTTGTACTCCATACATTTAAACAGGAATTATAATTGAATATATATTTTGAAATTGTGATAAGATTGGATAATATTTGCCATCTGTTAGTTTAATGTGGGTCTTAATTATTGATTGCCTTAACTTTTCTGCTGTACTTGGAAACTGAAATAGTAACCTTCATTGTCAGCAGGACGATAATAAATAGTCCAAAGTGCCCTGCTGTTGAATTGGTTTACCTCTCTTCTAACAGCCAGTGAGACAGCGTGTTTATCTGTTCTTATGGGTAGTATAAGGGTGTTTTCAAAAAGTTCATGAATTGGTGTATTATGAAAAATTATGCATAGATTTCAGATTTATTTTGCACAAAAGTAAACAACTTTAAATTCCATTTCCCCATGAACGTTCTGAAGTACATTCGTGTTTGTCTTTAGATTATTTTTGCCTATATGACATTTTATTTAACTTTGCTTTTTTTTTAATTTAGATTTCTTTACTATGTGGGATTAAATATTTTATGTGTTTTATTACCATTTGTATTTATTATTTTTATAATCTTTGCTCATATTTTTAGTTGTAACTTGATTTTTAAGAATTTCTCATGTTATGGAAATAACTCTTTGAAATACTTTGTCCACTTTATTACTTGTATTTACTTTGTTTATGATGTTTTTTGTCTTTTATAGAAGTTCTACATTATGAGTAATTAAGTTTGTTGATCAGATACTGTATACATGTAGAAATGGATTCAGTCTTCTTGGAAAGCAACTTGGCAATGGCTATTAAGATTTGTAATATACACCATAACTCAACATTTTGCTTCTAAAAAACTGATCCATTTGTACCTTTGCAAACACAGAAATATATTCAAGCACATAAACATTTATGTAGCTCCTACATGTATATTGTAAAATATATAAGGAATATGTAAATTCAGTTGTGACCTGAAAATGTGCACGTGTCAGCATGCACAGGAGGATTAAACAGTTCATTGAATTGCCATCAGGCAATTAAAAATTATCAATCACTGCAACTGACTTTACCCTGACTAGTAATTTTCACCTTTCTTTGCCTTTCTTATTCATCCTTCCAGTCTCAGCTTATACTCTTTTGTGAAAGCGTCACCAGTGTTTCATTTGTAGTTTATCTAAAGTAAATAAGCAAAAATAAATAGAACTTTTTCAAATTATTTTAAAAATTAATCAGGATTTTTTATAAAGGCATAAATAATCTGGTTCATTTTAATATATGGGGAGAAAATTTTAAGAAAGAAAAGGAAATGGAGAAGACTAGACATGGACAGTCAAAGGATATCATTTTTTTTTCCTGTTTGACTTTGTGTTCTTTGTACTCTTTTTCTCTTGAAAGAGGGAGAAACTCTGTAAGATGTCCCCCTGGCAGGAGAGACTGAAAAGTAATTCTTTGCTGGTATTTTTGCTCGTTTTGGTTTTTGGTTCACTCCTAGGCATGTATGATGAGACCTTTATAGAACATGCAGAATTTTGAACAGTTGACCAAGGATGCATTATTTGGAAGTTCACTGAGTGTATTCTGAATTTCACGGGGGGTTGGTAGGATTGAATCCTAACTGCTCTGAAGGGCCCATGGAATGATCTAAGGGTGGTGTTCAGATTGTAAGATTGTATCTCCCTTATGTTTATTTTCACTTAGGAAGTTTTATTCTAATGATCCTTTTGTTGACTATATGCCTTGTGTTATTTAAATATTTTCTTATACTATTTAAAAATTAGCTTTTAGATTTATTTATTTGAAAGGTGGGTGTGGGGTGGGGGGAGAGAAAGAAAGAGAATGAGAATCTTTCATCTGCTGTTTCACTTCCAAAATGGCCACCAACAGCCAGGTCTGGGCCAGGCCAAAGCTAGAAGGCAGGAGCCAGGAGCTTTCTCCGGGTCTCCCACATGGTTGGCAGGGGCCAAACACTTGGGCCTTCTTCTGTTTTCCCTGGCCACTTGCAGGAAGCTGGATCTAAAGTGGTTCAGCCAAGACACAAACCAGCACCCATATGGGATGCTGGCATCGCAGGCGGTGGCTTTACCAGCAACGCCACAATGCTGGCCCCTAGTGTGATGTTTTTAAGGTTCATGTTATGGCACATATCAATGATATCCTTTAGTTTTAAAATAACTGTTTAATTTTACTTCACTATGAAGTGCTTAACTTGATTCTCTAGGAGGGGAAAATGCTCTTTTCTCCTTTGTTGTGTACACTTGCTTTCCTTCCCACATCTCCCAGCCATAATGTTCACCTATCCCTGGAATGTACTGTTAAGGTCGAGAATGCCTACCACCGAGGAATGTCTGCAAAAGACTTCTCTCATGCAAATTTCAAAGGTTTTTTTTTTTTTTTTTAATTTTTCCAGCATGCTGGGGCTCTCTGATCAAACCAGAACAGAGCAGCCCCGAGGAACTACCGCATAGGGTTTATAAAGGCAAAAACCGCAAAATCCGGAGCGGGGGAATGCACGGTTGCTAAGATCAAAAAGAGAGTACATAGTTACTGGGGTCAGCATAACCTAAGACCTAGGTGAAATTAATATCCATCATAATCTTGACAATACCAGTTACAATCGTACAATTATCATTTATGATCTTGACATTAATCCAAATTATATGTAACACATAGACAAATCACATCTTTATGATTAACCCAGGTGCAACCTTTCTACTTCCAAGCTTGAGCAATCATGCTAGGGGTTTTCTGTGCTCTGTCAAGGGTGATGTAGTGCACTGCTATTGTCTGACTATTTGAGATCATAGTTTCAGACCAGAGTCTCAAGGTAGAGGGGGTTACTTTCCCAGAATGCAGTCTCAAGTGCTCCAAAATGGAGTCCCTACTGTCAAGGTGCTACTTCAGTGCTTATCCCAGTTTTAGGTTCACAGATAGGTTCTCAGAAGTGGGTGACAATAATGCCATTTAAAAAAATTTCTGGAAAAGTCTTACCTCAGATTCTCTTAAAACTGCTTGTCTTCGCTGCTAATGAGTGGAGGAGAGGGCAGGAGGAATAGCAGAAAGGATTGATTGTCTTGGATGAAAGTGATACCAGTTGCAGTTGTGTAATGAATTTTATTCATCAGTGTTATTACAAGGCAACAAAAGGATTATGTTTATTATATTTGGATCACATTGTTTTGTTAACTTAATTACACATTATATAACAAATCTGTGTACACAAAAGCTTATTGTTCTTGGTACCCTCCTTGGACTGCATACTAGGACAGGGAGCTGGTCTCACTCATTTTTATATTCTTGTTTTTTTGACAGATCACCAGCTTATATTAAATGCTGATCAAATTAAATTTTGGATTACTGCTAAATACATTAAAATTTATGTAAACAGTACTCAATTAATAGTATTCACTAAAATTACAGCCTGATGAATAGATATTTGTTGGTCTGACATATAGATGATAATTTATTAAGAGACCACTGATGTTGCCATTTATAATAGGAAAGTGCAGAGTACTTTGATTCATATACCAATTATATCGCCATAATTCTTTTTTTTTAAAGATTTATTTATTTGTTTGAAAGTCAAAGTTACACAGAGAAAGAAGGAGGCAGAGAGAGAGAAAGAGAGAGAGAGAGAGAGAGAGGTCTTACATCCGCTGGTTCATTCCTCAATTGGCCTCAATAGCCAGAGTTGCACTGATTTAAGCCAGGAGCCAGGAGCTTCTTCTGGGTCTCCTACGTGGCTTCAGGGGCCCAAGCACTTGGGCCATCTTCTACTGCTTTCCCAGGCCATAGCAGAGAGCTGGATCTGAAGTGGAGCAGCCAGGACTTGAAGCGGCAACCATATGGGATGCCAGTGCTGCAGGCAGTGGCTTAACCTGCTACGCCATAAGTCTGGCCCCTCTCTGTAATTCTCTGTTAAGAATTTGAAGGATGTGGGGCTGGCATTGTGGCATATTAGGCTAAGCCTTTACCTGCAATGCTGGCATCCTATATGGGTGCTGTTCATGTCCTGGCTGCTCCTCTTCTGATCCAGCTGTCTGCTTATAGCCTAAAAAGCAGAAGATGGCCCAAGTGCTTATGCCCCTGCACCTACGTGGGAGACCCAGAAGAAGCTGCTGGCTTCAAATTGGCACAGTTCTGGCTGTTGCAGCTATTTGGGGAGTGAACCAGCAGATGGAAGAACTTTCTTTATGCCTCTTCCCCTCTCTGTCTGTAACTCAACATCTCAAATAAATAAATAAAATCTTTTTAAAATTTTTAAGGATAAAATCTTTTTTAAAAAGTATTTATTTATGAAAAGCAGAGTGACAGAGAGAAAGAATTTGAGAGAGCGCTTCCATTGCTGGTACACTCCTCAAATGGCTACAATAGCCAGATCTGTTCCAGGCTGAAGCCAGGAACCAGGAACCTCCATCCTGGTCTCCCACATGTTTGGCAGAGGCCCAAGTTCTTGGGCCGTCTTTTGCTGCCTTCCCAGGTGCATTAGTAGGAAGTTGGGTTGGAAATGGAACATTAGGACTTGAATTGATACTCCAGCAAGGTATGTTGGTGTTGCAGGCAGTTTAAACCACTGTGCCACAGTGCTGGTGAAGGATGTAAGCTTAAGGACATATCCTGTACCTAGGTTTTTAAACTCAGCAATGAAAATTGGTATTACTCTAAATAAACAGAAATTAATGATAAAATACTTTTCCAGAAAACCTGTCATGAAAAGAGTTTTAAAAATTTGTAGTTGAAAATTGAAAAAAGATCCCAGTTGAAAATAAGAGTGGGAATGAGAGAGGGAGGAGCTGTACAGTTAGCACACATTCCCACGGGCTTATCCCTAAGGGTAAAGCTAAAAACTTGCCATGGGACTCCAAGTCCCATTAAGCTAGGTGGTACTAATCCCATTTTATGTAATAAAGTAATCATATTAAGTGTGGAATTGATCATATAGATAAGGTTAAATGTCAAAGGGATCACATAAATAAGACCAAGTGTCTGGTAATAACAATAGATAGAATTACAAAGGAGAGAAAGTTCCAACATGGGAAGCAGGCCACACAGCAGACTCACAGAATGACAAACGCCCCAAATAGCACTCTGACCTCAGAATGAGCTCCTAAGGCATTTGGATCTGGCTGAAAATTCCATGAGAGCATTTCAGGTATGGAAAGCCAAGACATAGTGGCAAAAACTGTTCTGCATGAATGATCTCTGTGAATAAGACCCCATTTGAAAGAAGGGGCCATCAAAGAAGGATATACTTTTCACTGAAGGTAGGCGAGAACTTCCACTTTGCATGTGGACCACCTGCATATGGACCTAAATACCTACGGAGTTTGTGGACTGAAAGGCTTCCATAACCTTGGCAGCTCCTGTCAAGAACCTCGGGTGGTCACTGATGTCAAAAATAAAAGAGTGTTAATTGTTAAATCAAGAACAGGAGTCACTATGCACTTACTCCCCATGTTGGACCTCTGTCCTTAATGAGGTATACTATGAGAATTAACGGTAAAACTTGTCTTCAAACTGTACTTTATACTTTGTGTGTCTGTGTGGGTGCAAACTGTTGAAATCTCTACTTAGTATAGAGTTGGTCTTCTGTATATAAAATCAAAATGAATCTTAATGAAGAATAGAATGGGAGAGGGAGTAGGAGGTGGGATGGGAGTGGGGGTGGGAGGGCGGGAATGGGGGGAAGAACCACTATATTACTAAAAGCTGTACCTATGAAATTTGTATTCGTTAAATAAAAACCTTCTAAAAAAACATATACAAAAAATTTATAGTTTTATAGTTTCTGGGATTAAGTTGTAGCTTTTTGTTTTGTTTTCCTCAAATTTTTTTTGACAGTCTTTATAATATAGATCATATTGTACATATTGCTAGTATCTTTTAATTGATCATTTGAGTATTCACTATTTTAAATGGGAATATTAGATTTTCACTTGTTCATAATTTAAAAGTACACAGGTCTAATAAACATTTCTAACCTCTTTATTTGGGTTATCAGCATAATGATAAAATAGTATAATATTAAAAGCTATTACATAGTTTTTTCATGTAATTTCATAGTCTCTTAGGTATCATTCCCTTTCACTTTTGTTGTTTAGTTTAATAGAATGGGAAACTGAAGCTCAGAAGAATGCCTTATTTTAGATTAGGTACTAGCAGTTAACAGAATCAAATCTTGAACTGAGGGATTTGTGATTCCAAGTAGAAAAATCTTTGTTAATATTATATCTATCACTGCTACTACTCATTACTTACCTAGTTTGGATATTTTAGAGGAAATAGGAATAGTTTCTATACTCAGTTTTTCCAGAGAATTGAAGGTAGACAACTGAAATTGCAAAACTTAAAATTCTGATACTGTATCAGTAAGTACGCAGTGAGAGTTGTACAATACAATAGAATACAGAAATACAAATCACGTTAAGTTGTTTGAAAATTTAATATTTTAATCATTTGTTTAATTTTAAGTTCAATGTTAAAAGTTGAATAAAAATATAAAGATATGAATTTAAGTATAATTTTTTTCTTTCCCAGACAGATATTGATTATGTACATGGTGTTGTAGCCAAACTGGAGAAAGAGTAAGTTGGTCTTAATTATTGAAATGAAAATATTTTAATTGCTATTTTTTTTTGCTAAAAGAAAATACATTCTTTTATAGTTCATTTCCCTATGAATTTCATTGTGTTTTACAGAGTCATAAAGTAGGTATAAATACCCAGCTATCTAATGGGATAAATTGGTATATTTTCTTATAAAAAAGAATGTCATATGTCTGTAACATTGTTAAATAACAGTCTTCAATCTTGAAGCCAGTAAACACGGAGAGAGTAACACAAGGTTGCTTAAATCATTGACTCTCTGTTTATGAAGCAAAAATATTTCTGCTGGCAAGGCAAATATTCAAGAAGTTGTTTCAGACTTTGTGTTAGGGTTCTCTAGGGATACAAAGCCTATAGAGGATGTATATGGTTATATGAAGGGGAATTTATTAGGGTAATTGGCTCACATGATTATGGCAACTGATAAGTCCCTTGATGGATCTTCTGCAGTTTGGAAATCCTGGAATGTGTAAGCCAACTGAGAGGGCTTGACCAGGGCAGTTAGGGTGTAAGTCTCAATTTGAGGCTGAAGTCCGAGTACCAGCAGAGGTTCCACTGGTATAAGTCTGCGAGTCCAAAGGCCAGCAGCGGAAATTTAAGGCAGAAGTCAAGAGTGTCCCAGCTCCGACCATGAAAAACAATTTGCCTTCTTTGTTTCATTTCTTCAGACCTCCCAAGATCCCCTGCCCACATTGAGGTGAAGTCTTTCCACCTAGTGCACTTAGATTCACATGCTAATGTTGTTTGGAAACAACATCATAGATACACCCAAAGTAATGCTTTTCTGGGATTCTAGGTGTTCTGTAATCCTATCAAATTAGAACCTTAAAATTAAGCATCACAGACCTCTGTGTGAAACCATGTCTAAATCTGTTCCACGTAGCAGGTAACAGATGGTGAGCTTAGTAGGTTTTCGGTATTCTTACCTTTTATAATATTGCCTAGTGATTTTAATATGATGTCATAAAAATTAGTCTTGAAAACTGGTTTATGCATTGAATTGTATATGTTTTGTCCCTAAAAAGTCATACCTTCCATTTAAAAAGGAAAATCAAAAGTTATTTGGTAGCTATAGATTTGAAATAATGTAGTATTGTCTTTGTCTGTCAAAATGCAAAAACTGAATATTTTAAAAATATTATGTGTAATTTAAGATCAACTTGCCATTTAAATTTTTCTCACATCCTAAAATCCTTGGAAGTCTATATAGAAACACAGCTTAGTATAGATTGCTAAATAAAGGAACAGAGCAATATTTTATTGACCTCTCCGTAAATGACATCAGACGGTCTGTAGGGCTTATGCAGTGATTCTGTTGATTTATTACTTTTTCAATGTATAGAAAAGCCAAGCCCAGAAAAAAGTGCATTTAAGCACTAAGAACATTTGTGTAAAGGCTGGTGGTTGCCCAACTATTTTGTGGAGACTTTGTCTAAGTGTGAAAGAAATTACATTTCACTTAGTAAAATTCTTCAAAAAAAAAAAAAAACACTTTAGAAAAGGGTTTCTCAGTCTCAGGACTGTTGACATTTGGGGCCAGATAATCCTTTATTGTGGGAACTGTCCTATGCATTGTAGGATAAGCGTCCCTGGTGTCTGCCCATTACATGTCAGTAGTGCTTGCTCACAGTTGTGACAATGAAAATGTCTCGAGACATTCTAAATGTCCTTGGAAAGGGAGATAGTCACCACAGTTGAGAAACACTCATTTAGAAGGACATAGAGTCAATAGCCCACGAAAGGGGACCTGAAAATCTAGAGTTTTGCATAAACACACGCGCACACACACACACATCGTTTTTCTTCAGTTCCTTATTTTCTGTGAGACCTTGATTGATTTATATTTTAAATTTCTAATACCTTTTAGGAATATAATGTCTGCAGCTGGGCTAGGTTTTCTGTGCTACAAAAAAAAGAAAGAAACACCTTGAGCTGTTGGGAAAGCTTGTATTTTCTGGTAAATAAAACCATAGATGAACTACTTAATTTAATACCTTGTAACTGTAACATTATATACTGCTCCAAATAATTATTGAGGTTTTTTGGTTAAATACAGAAAATTGAACATTAAGATAAATAAAATCCCACAGAACTTAAATAACTCAGTTAACCTTTCTCATTATAGATTTTCTAAAGAAATCAGTTCTGGCTTGTTAGAAATAATATCACCTCCTGAAAGTTATTATCCTGACTTGACAAATTTAAAGGAGACATTTGGAGACTCTAAAGAAAGAATAAGGTGAGCCATGGTTTCAGAATCCTCCATCCTTGTAAGTATAATATCTGATAAATGTAGTTCTTATTTATTGAAGCTTAAAACATTTTAGGGTTGAATTTGGTAAAATATTCTAGATAGATTCAGTTGTCTGAACTTAAGTTCAGGACAACTTGTGTAAAATATTCTGGAGAAGTTTTCTTAGTCTGAATAAAAGCTTAGTTAGTATAAGCTTTTGTTTTATTGTGTTTTTCCTAAACTGGTTTTTGGAACTACTTCTCTTATTCAGTATTAGTATTTCTGTAGGCTACCAGGAATTCACTGAAAGGATTTAGCATTATAAATTTGATATGGGGTTTTTTGCATGTGTATATTCAATAAATATTTATTAATCTCTATCTCTGTGTAAAACATAGTTCTAGGTACCAGAGCAGTGGTCTCCAGAAATAGAATTTTGGAAGCACTAGTTTGAGGATGTTTGAAAAATAGTGGGTTAAAGTTTGTTTTTTCTTTTGTTTTTTAAGAGTTGTATGTACTTAGTTGAAAGGCAGAGCTACAGGAGATGTACAATTTGGGACATGCTCAATCGGACTTAACCCAAATGGTAGAGTTAGAAACATGCCAGGGGATTCCAATTCAATCCCATCAAGGTGGCATGTACCAATGCCATTCTCAGTAGTCCAAGTGATCAGTTTCAGTTCACAATTGATCATAATGATAGGACTGAGAGTCAAAGGGATCACATAAACAAGACTAGTGTCTGCTAATACTAACTGATAGAATAAAAAAGGGAGAGAACGATCCAACATGGGAAGCAGGATACACAGCAGACTCATAGAATGGCAGATGTCCTAAACAGCACTCTGGCCTCAGAATCAGCCTTTAAGGCATATGGATCCGGCTGAAAAGCCCATGAGAGTATTTCAGGCATGGAAAGCCAAGACACTCTGGCAAAAAACAAACAAACAAAAAACACCTAAATGAAAGGTCTCTGCGAGGGAGGAGAGAACTTCCACTTTGACTATGACCTTGTCTAAATAAGATCAGAGTCGGTGAACTCAAAAGGCTTCCCTAGCCTTGGCAACTCATGACAAGAGCCTAGGGTGATTACTGATGCCATAAACAAGAGTGTCAATTGTTAAATCAACAACAGGAGTCACTGTGCACTTATTCCTCATGTAGGATCTCTGTCCTTAATGTGTTGTTCAATGTGAATTAATGTTATAACTAGTGCTCAAACGGTATTTTACACTTTGTGTTTCTGTGTGGGTGCAAACTGTTGAAATCTTAATATATTGCTAAATTGATCTTCTATATATAAAGATAATTGAAAATGAATCTTGATGTGACTGGAATGGGAGAGGGAGCAGGAGAGGGGAGGGTTGCGGGTGGGAGGCAAGTTATGGGGGGGAAAAAGCCCTTGTAATCCATAAGCTGTACTTTGAAAATTTATATTTATTAAATAAAAGTTTTAAAAAAAAGGAGACCCAGAAAGAGATAGTCAATCCATAGGTTAACTCCTTATAGATGACTGTAAGCCCCAGCTGCAGCCAGGAGCCTGGAACCCAATCTTGGTCTCCCATATGGGTGGCAGGGGCCCAAGTACTTGAGTTATCTTAAGCACTAGCAGGGAAATGCATCAGAATTGGAGCAGCTAGGACTGGAACTGGTGCTCTGATACGGAATATCAATTTCGCTGATGGTGGCTTAACCCACTGCACCATGCTGTCAGCCCCTGAAGTTTTGTTTTCAACGTAGGGCTTCACTGCTGGATATTTCGGTGCCTGTAGTATACTAATATTTCCCTAGAAGGGGAACACATGGGCAGTGTTCCTCAAACTTATTTGACTTTGGACTCTTTCCTTCAAGACATTTTGAGGCTTAATTTTCTTGGAAATGTATTTTAATCAAGCTTTATCAGAAAAAAAAAGTGACTATTTTTGACTCTATCCCAAGTATAAATACAAACTCACACATATATATAGTATATACACACATATACACATATTGTCATGTGAATGTACTTGTGTGTGTATGATACTCTATATAGACGGTTGAGGTTTATGCATCTAATTTTATTTCACTAAATTTGAATCTGATTCCTATCTTTTTAATTGTTCAATTTGATTTTTCCCAACTTATGTTTATTTCAGATGGAGAACAAAGCAAAACCTAGATTATTGTTTTCTAATGATGTATGCTCAGGAAAAGGGCATATATTACATTCAGGTAAGTGTGGCTTTTCTTTTAGGATTTTTCACAATTCTGAGCACTAGCAAGGGTATATTTTCTAAAATAAGAAGTTTTGAAAACATCAAGTCTCTCAGTTCTGTAAGAACATAATCATACATCAGAGCAGAGAGGTCTCCATGATACTTGAGAGAGTAAGGTCTGAGATTCCAGTTTGAGGGCTTGCAGACACTAGGGCCACTGAGTGGGCTGATCATGTGCTTATCTGCTCCTCCATTTTTTTCTTACATTCCTCTGTCTTTTCTTTCCTTCTTCTCTCCACTGTTATAAAGAACTAAGATTTAATTATCTGCCAGATTTATTTATTTATTTATTTTGACAGGCAGAGTGGACAGTGAGAGAGAGAGAGAAAGGTCTTCCTTTTTCTGTTGGTTCACCCTCTAATGGCCGCTGCTGGCACCCAGTGCTGATCCGAAGGCAGGAGCCAGTTGCTTCTCCTGGTCTCCCATGGGGTGCAGGGCCCAAGGACTTGGGCCATCCTCCACTGCACTCCGGGGCCAGAGCAGAGAGCTGGCCTGGAAGAGGGGGACAGAATCTGGCACCCCAACGGTGACTAGAACCCAGTGTGTCGGTGCCACAGGTGGAGGATTAGCCTATTGAGCCTCGGTGCCAGCCATAATTATCTGCCAGATTTAAAAGAAGGATTTCCTCATAATTTTTCCTAGTGATCTTGTGAGAAAATATTTTTATTGTTAAATTTATATTGAAGATAATAAAGTTCACATTTAATTCTAATGGTTTAATTTTTAGCAGTGTCAGCAGAATGCGATCAGGTAGACTAATCTGGTAATGATGTGGTCTTTTTTTCTTTTTATTTTTTTTAAACTTAAATAAAAAGTTATACAAGTTTCATATATTTCATGTACAGATTTAGGAACATAGTGCCATTTCCCCCCCTAGCATCCCTCCTACCCATGCTCTGACCCTTCTCCTCCTCCCTCTCACACTCCCACTCTTAATTTACTTTCAGTTTACTTAATGATTGTATGGTTAACTTTATGCTGAATAAAAGAGTTCAACAAACAGTATGAAGAAAAAAAAAACACACTGTTCCTCAACAGAAGAGACAAGGGCTATAAACGATCATCAAATCTCAAAATGTCCATTCTACTCCTAGACATTACATTTTAGGTACTCTGTTAGTTACCTCGGATCAGGGAAAACATATGGTATCTGTCTTTTTGAGACTGGCTTATTTCAATAAGTATAATGGTTTCCAGTTGTGCCCATCCTGTTGCAAAAGACAAGGTTTCTTCTTCTTTTTTTTTTTTTTTTTTTTTAACAGCTGGGTAGTACGACATAGTGTATTTATATCATAATTTCTTTATCCAGTCAACAGTTGATGGACATCTGGGTTGATTCTGTATCTTAGCTATTGTGAATTGTGCTGCAGTGAACATAGGAGTACAGATAACTCTTTCAGATGCTAATTTCTTTTGGTTTGGGTAAATTCCCAGGAGTGGGATGGCTGGACCATATGGTAGGTCTGTATTCCGATTTCTGAGATATCTCCATACTGTCTTCCACAGTGGCCGGACAAATTTACATTCCTACCAGTAGTGGATTAGGGTACCTTTTCCCCAACATCCTCGCCAGCATTTGATGTTTGCTGATTTCTGTAAGACAGACATTCTAACTGGAATGAGGTGAATCCTCATTGTGATTTTGATTTGCATTTCTCTGATGGCAAGTGTTCCTGAGCGTTTTTTCAAGTGTCTGTTGGCCATTTGAATTTCCTTTCTTGAAAAATGTCCGTTCAAGTCCTTTGCCCATTTCTTAACTGGATTGTTTTGTTGTTGAATTTCTTGAGCTCTTTTATAGATTCTGGAAGATAACCCTTGATCAGTTGCTTAGTTTGCAAATATTTTCTCCCATTCTGTAGGTTTCCTCTTCACTTTGCTGAGTGATTTTTTTTTTTTCAGCGCAAAAGCTTCTCAGCTTGATGTAATCCCATTTGTCAATTTTTACTTTGATTGCCTGTGCTTCTGGGGTCTTTTCCAAGAAGTCTTTTCTTATGCCAGTGTCTTGCAGAGTTTCCTTAATGTTCTCTAGTAATTTGATGGTATCAAGTCATAGATTTAGGTCTTTGATCCATTTTGAGTGGTTTTTTGTATAAGGTATAAGATATGTGTCTAGTTTCATATTTCTGAATCCAAAGATAAAGTTTCCCCAACACCATTTGTTGAAGAGACTGTCCTTTCTGCAGGGATTGACTTTAGCTTCTTTGTCAAAGGTAAGTTGGTTCTAGGTGTGTAGATTGATTTCTGGGGTTTCTATTTTGTTCCATTGGTCTTACATGTCTGTTTTTATGCCAGTACCAGGCTGTTTTGATTATAACAGCCCTGTAGTATGTCTTTAAGTTGGGTATTGTGATGTCTCCGGCTTTGTTATTGTTGTATAAGATTGCTTTAGCTATTCGGAGTCACTTGTATTTCCATATGAATCTTAGCATCATTTTTTCTAGATCTACAAAGAATGTCATAGGTATTTTGATTGGGATCACATTGCATCTGTAAGTTGCTTTTGGTAGTGTGGACATTTTGACAGTGTTGAGTCTTCCACTCCGTGAACATGAAAGATTTTTCCATTTTTTAATGTCTTCTGTTTTTTTCATTAGTGTTTTATAATTTTCATTGTAGAGATCTTTGACATCCTTGGTTAAATTTATTCCAAGGTATTTAATTCTTTTTGGAGCTATTGTGAATGGGACTGATTTTAAAAGTACTTTATCAGCCATGACATTGTGTATACAAAGGCTATTGATTTTTGTGTTTTGATTTTTATATCCTACTGCTTTTCCAAACTCTTTTTGAGTTCCAGTAGTCTCTTAGTAGAGTCTTTTGGATTCCCTGTATATAGAATCATGTCATCTACAAATAGGGATAGTTTGATTTTCTCTTTCCCAATATGTATCCCTTTAATTTCTTTTTCTTGTCTAATGGCTCTGGCCAAAACTTCTAGGATTATTAAATAGCAATGGTGAGAGTGGGCATCCTTGGCTGGTTCCAGATCTTAGGGGGAATGTTTCCAGCTTTTCCCCATTCAATAAGATGCTGGCCATGGGTTTGTCCTAAATTTCCTTGATTGTGTTGAGGAATATTACTTCTATACCCAATTTGCTTAAGGTTTTCATCATGAAAGGATATTGTATTTTATCAAATGCTTTCTCTGCACCTATTGAGATAACCATATGGTTTTTGTTCTTCAGTTTGTTAATGTGATATACTACATTTATTGATTTGCATAAGTTGAACCATATGCAAATCACCAGGATAAATCCCAGGTGAATGATCTTCTGATTTTTTGTTAGATTTGATTAGGTAATATTTTATTGAAGATTTTTGTGTCTATGTTCATCAGAGAGCATTGGTCTGTAGTCTTCTTTCTCTGTTGCATCTTTTTCTGGTTTAGGAATTAAGGCTATGCAGTCTTCATAGAAGAAGTTTGGGAGGATTCCCTCCCTTTCAGTTGTTTTGAATAGCTTGAGGAGAATTGGAATTAGTTCTTTAAATGTCTGGTGGAATTCAGCAGGGTCTTTATTACTGATTCAGTTTCCATCATGGTTATTGGTCTGTTTAGGTTTTCTATGTCTTCATGACTCAATTTTGGTAGATTGTATATGTCCAGGAGTCTATCCATTTCTTCTAGGTTTCCCAGTTTGTTGCCATATAGTTCTTTCTAGTAATTCCTGATGATTCCTTTTATCTGAAATGTCAACCCAGTATCTGAAATGTATCTGAAATGTCAACTCAGAATACTGTACCCTGCAAAGCTCTCTTTTATGAATGAAGGTGAAATAAAGACCTTTCATAACAAACAGAAATCGAAAGAACTTGTCTAGCCTTACAAAAGATGCTTAAGGATGTGCTACATACAGAAACACAGAAAGATAGCCATCATTACATAAGAATGTGATGGCAGAAAATTCCCCAGTAAAAGTACAAATGAAATCCACAGTATGCAATAGGAATATTTATGGAAAAATGGCAGGGCCAATTTGTTACTTACCAGTAGTCACTTTGAATGTAAATGGCCTCAACTCTCCAATTAAAAGATACAGACTTGCTGAATGGATTAAGAAGTGAGACCCATTTATTTGCTGCCTACAAGAAACACAAGATACATGGAGACTGAAAGTAAAAGGATAGAAAAAGATATTCCATGCTAACGGAAAGCCAAAAAAGGGTAGGTGTTGCCATCCTAATATCAGAGAAAATAGACTTTAACACAAAAACTGTTAAAAGAGACAAGGGCACTATGTAATGATTAAGGGATCAACAGGGGGATGTGACTATAATAAATGTATATGAACCCAATTACAGGGCACCTGGTTATTTAAAAGAAATGTTAATGATCTAAAGGGGGATATAGACTCCAATATAATAGTGACAGGGGACTTCACCTCACTTTCATCAATGGACAGATCAACTAGACAGAAAATCAACAAAGAAACAACAGAGCTAATTGACACGATGGTCCAAATGGACCTAACAGATAGCTATAGAACTTTTCACCCCAAAGTTGCAGAATACACATTCTTCTATCAGTGCATGGAACTTTCTGTAGGATAGATCATATGCTAGGCCATAAAGCAAATCTCAGCAAATTCAAAAAAATTTAAATCATACCATGCATCTTCTCTGACCACAATGGAATGAAGCTGGAAATTAACAACTCAGTTATCTCTAGATCATACGGAAACACTTGGAGACTGAACAACATGCTCCTGAATGAACAGTGGGTCATAGAAGAAATCAAAAATTTCCAGAAATGAGGACAACAATACATCATATTAAAACTTATGGGGTACAGCAAAAGCAGTGTTAAGAGAAGTTTATAGCAGTCGGTGCCTTCATGAAGAAATTGGAAAGGTACCAAATAAATGAACTATCAGTGCTTCTCAGGGACCTAGAAAAACAACAACAAACCAAACCTCAAATTAGTATGAGGAAAGAAATAATTAAAATTAGAGAAGAAAT